GGCCTACCCTACCAGATCACTTACACTCTGGAAATGTGAGCAACTGTTGGCCACCAATTGCTCCATCACAGTGAAATGTTCCTGGGCAATGTAGGATAACAGATCAACGCTTAAATACAAGGCGCATGGTAGGCCTATCTGCTAGGATTGGAAGCCTCGGATATTTTGAACTGCATAAGACTAAAATATTATTTAATAATAAAGTTATTTTGCAAGCGTGAAAGTCGTATTTCGTTAAATCTGGTTCACTGATGCCGATATTATAAAGTTATGGTGCAGTCTACCGGATAATTCATATTATTATCAGGTCGTCTGATTCAATGTGCTTAATGCTAACGTACCGTAATGCTGTCCAAATGCCAACGCCAAGTTGAAACGATTACTGTATTACTGTACTTGTTTACTAAACTGCTAGAGTATATTCAATAATACACTGAAATATTTTCACTGTATCAGAGTACGGTATTCGACATATTTATATTTCACACTCTGATTCCTGTACCTTCTATCTTTATCTTGTATGTAAAACAAGATAAAGATAGAAGGTACAAGAAAATTTATCTTATATTTAAGTGATCTAAAAATGTCAATAAGTACAAGATAAAATTATCTAATAGGTGTCACAGCGAAGGCGCAGTATTCTTACTCTATAACTCTGGCCCAGGCTGTCGAACAAGTTACTGTTTCCCAATTGTACTAATCCTTCTCATAGAAAGTTAAGAATTGTTATTCTACTCCTAAATTATCGTTTCCGTTCGTAGAACTATATATTGGTACGGTGGTCAGACTGGGTTGATAGTGTCTCTGGTATTGGTGAATTCACGTTAAAACTTTACAGAATTGAAATACAAGGAAGTACATTGAAAGAAGTGAAAGAAGAGAGTGAATTAAAATTTACAGACCAGAGTGAAATGCAAGTAGATCTACTCTTGCCTGATCCAGGTAAGACAGTTAGAGGATCAAATTTATCAAACTTGACCCTTTCAAAATGTAAATGAATTTCGTTGACCTAGCACGAAGCACTATTTTAAAGGAAAATCATCCAAAACAAGGCCACTCGAAATAATGGTTAATGGTTAATAGTTTAAAATTATATAGCACAAATTATGCTCTGTAATCACAAGTTGTAGGGGTGTTTGGAAATGTGAAATACAAAAACAAATTAAGATAAAAGTTCCAAGCCAAGCCAGTATATCCAAACCGCAATATGGGAGTACGCCCTCGTCACTAACCCCATGGATTGTTCTAATTACACCCCGGTCAGCACCTGTTAAGCACAGGGACGTATTCAGGGGGAGCCGTGGGTGCCGCTGCTGTCTTCCCCCTCACCCCCTTTGTAAAGAGTTAGAATTTTAAAGCTTGTTTTTGTTAGGCAATAGGCCTACAAATTATTTCCTGAGATCACTCAAAATGAATACTTCTCTAAAATATGTAAATGCATCAGCTCATTGGTTTTGATTTAAATGCTGTACAATTTCTTATTGACTCCTTCTACTATATGTTTGTGATCCGTGCTCTAATAGATACCCACCATAAACTTCTATCGACAAAAGTCACTCGCTAACCTGATAGTAACCCAGTTGAATATTCATTATATTAATCAATTTTCACTGTACACGATAATGCAAAAAATAACTTTTCGGGTTTATAACGACTACTGCTCAAGGAGTGGATTTAGCAAACTTACTTTAAAAGAAAAAAATTAAATTCGTCTTAAATCCGTAAATCCCAGGCCATGTCTTTTAAAATACAGAACTGTGTCGCCTTTTCGCCTTCAGCACAATTTTTAATATTATTATTAATATTATCTATTATCATAATCACCATGTTGTCATCATCATCATCATCCTCGTCAATATATAATTATGGAAAAAAAGAAAATTATTTTTAAATTTAAGTCTGAGAGTGAGAGTGTAATTTCCGGCCATCTAGCATCTAGAGGTGCCCTAATCATAAATTGTTTTACCTCAGCCCCAACCAGGTTAGGGCTGTGGTGGGTGGACCCTCCGTCTGTGAAAGTCATGCAATTCCTGGGTCACCTTTCTTTTGAATTTCCGATTCGCCACTATTTAGTTATTATAATTATTGTAATTAGGCTTACTAATATTAGGCCTATTTATGATGCGTCTATTGCAAATTTCACTTCTATCCTCTCAAAACCGTCCTTAAACTTTCAGAGTGTGCTACCTCCCAGAGCCCTTGGCGCCCCCCCCCCACCTGCTGCGGGAAGGGATAACGGCGCCCCCCCCCCTTTCAAAATCCTAGCTACGTCCCTGGATGAGCCTCGGCCATTTTGGACTCAGGCGCCTCCTATCTTAATAAGGCTAATGTGATGGGCTATAAATCAAGTGCATAACCTCTATTAATAGAGTATACTTGTACAACAAACCCACTTCTCCCATATGACTATAACCTCAAAAGAAGGATCAGAAAATTATTAGCAATTATTACGCCCAAACATAATCCATATTCTCTAAATAGAGATATAGTAATCTAATTTTATGAATCTAAGTATTTTTTTTCATTTAAAATCGTAAAAGATTTGTGTGGGTGGGTATGTATGTGAATGGGTTTTAGAAAAGACATGTTACAATTGATGGATCACCTATTAATTCTCCTACTCCAGGACTTTATTCGCTTATTTTGGAAGTAAGAGACAGAGCTATGAATACAAAATTAGCAAGAAGGTTCGTACTGTTTGACAATGTCAACCCTCCACAACTCAGGTTTGAGAACCCAATAGTTGTTCGTTCAGCAAGTGGCGAAGAAATTAATTGGTTAACGTCCATTGAAAACGTAAAACTTCTACTAGACTGGGGTAGTCGGTTTTGGAGCAGGTTCGTGCATGAGAACTCTCTTCTAAATGAAATTGATGAATACGTTGGAGTTAATGTCGGTAAGTATGGAAATAATCATATAGCCCTAAATATTAGGCAACCTAAACTGATTGAATTTAGAAGAAGTGAATGTAAACCTTAGGCCTATCATTTAGCTACAACTTCTAATCATACTGTAATAATTACCGTACTGAGATTTTTGTCCTTGCATTACTGTATTGTCATCAGTTTTCTAATACCTTGTCAATAATGTGTAGGCCTATCTAACTCACACCACATGATATTTTTAAACTTTTAATCGTTACAGAAACAATGAGTCTTGTCAGTAAACAAGATTGATTGTAAACAAAACAAAAATAGTATGTACCGATTTGAGATTGTAATAAAGCAAAATGCCATTGCTAATATATTTTATAATAATACTTATGGTTTATACATGATGATATAACTGTTTTAACTGTCACAGAATACGACCAATTTAATGGAACCAGAGGACGTCCGTCTGTCAATAATAATATGGGGATTATTCGATTTGGAATAATCTCAACAATTATAAGAGGAGATAGCATTATCAACCGACAATACCTCAACGTTCACCTAAACATAACACATGAGTTTACCTACAATGCTGATGAAATTCAAAATGGAGATGAACTCGTGTTCTTGGTGATAGCTTGGGATATATTCAATAGATCGGTTGAGGATAGTAAGTCAATCAAAGTTGAATCTACACCGCCAGAGATAATTAATTCGTCAGTAATTCAAAATGGTAGATCATTAAATCCAACTGGAAATGTTGAAGTTAATTCGCAAGATTTATTGAGGTAAGATGTTTGGGAAATTTGAGTCGGTGTTATCCCCGTTACCTGGTTCGCATCACAACCAATGTTGTTGAACTATACGACTACTGTACTAATCGTTTCTATCTACAGCTCTGACACTCCGCGCCCGTATGCAATTCAGCACGAAGATGTTATTTAGTTCAATTTTAATTTCAAATATTTGAATTACTCTACGTAGACCTAAAGTTAAGTTGTTCTAGCAGAATGCACCTTGATTAACCTTACACTTGAAACACATTTGAAACAAACATTTACGGGCTATTGTTAAATTACTTTATTTATTTTAATCAAGCATGTCTTTGAATTAATATAAATTTAAGTACAAATTTCGTATAAATTGTACAACGTACAATACTTGTTTAAAGGATGTTACTAAAAAAATACTTATACGTATATTTGATTCTAATGGTTTTAAAATGGTTTTAGCGTTAAAGTTGAAGTAGAAGAGCATGACAGTAGATTAACACAAATAGCATGGAAAGTTACCACACAGCATGTACTTTCAACGGATCCAATCGAGATTGACAAAAAAACAATAACTGTAGAAGAGGTAAATTTTAAAATTTACTCAATAGACTAATATATATAACATTAATAACATTTTTTAGAAAGATTGAAACCAACTCTTTACTGGTTATTATATAAATACTGTTTCTTATTAGTACTGTGATTGAGTACATTGTAGTAATTTTATTCGTTTCTTTTCCAGTACTGTGCAGTGGAGTCGATACTTTGTGATGTTAAAAACGGAACTTACAATTCATTAATCTATAACCTACAATTAGATTTTAGTCAAGTTCAGTCCCAAGATGGCCAGCAGTATTCGGTTGAAATTAAATTTTCGAATGAGGCTCAACTGTTTAACAAAGCGCAATTCCATGTAAGGGCTGTTTTATTATGTGTTATAAATTTATATTTCTATCAACATAATGTTTAAAAAAAACATTCAACTTCAAGACGTTGGTTTGTAATAATTTGTGTTCACACTTACACTTGACAAAATACAGGTTTTTTTTTCTATAGTACTGAAGTATTGTATTCTCTCCATGATACTAAAACCGCACATACTGTACACATTTGTAAACATAACGCTTTTTATACAAACATGACACATTGTCGTTTGTTGGACAGGCGTTCGCCGTATACACACTTCCACCTAAAAGCTTCTTTGATGAACCATAGATCATTATATTTTCAAAAGGTATTAGTCTTACATATGTACCGTCAAATTTACAATACTGTTATCCACGATATGTATCATAAGAATAAATATTACAGTGTTTACTGAACCATGAAATGTGTTAAAGCCAATAACTTATAATAAATGTTCCGGCATGTTTTATTAATTGAATTGAGGGGTGTTTTTAATTAGTTTCTGGTAACATCATCTCCAATATATTTGCCAACGGTGAAAACAGATTCAACACCAACATCATCTCCAATATATTTGCCAACGGTAAAAACAGATTCAACACCAATGATGTCGGAAACTGTTAAATCATCAAAAACAACAGGTAAGAACAATATTTGATGTATAACAAGTAAAACTTACATGATTCAAAATATCATAGATCACTATAATATTTGACTTGTCAGATTAATATTCACTCTTAAAAACCGAATGCTATTTTTAAAAACTGTTGAGAAATTCCTCTAAAGAGAGGCAAATTTTATTCCTTTTTCTTTTAATTTTTTGTATTAGAGCGATTCGAGCGAAAGTGGTCTCTTTTTCACTCCTTTCAACTTTTTGCATTTGAATATAAGAAAAATATTGTACATAATATGCTCTCAAACTGACCCCTTGACCTATTTCTAGATGATGTTGCTATTAATTCGAATCAAAGTTCGTCAACCAACGCTATCGGTGGAGGTATTGGTGGAGCGTTATTGATAATTATTATCGTTCTGATAGTTCTTCTTGTTGTTCGTAGACAACGGAAAAAACGGGTAAGGTACTGAATCTTCAAACGCCGTAGGCCTGTAGAGCTGTTATCAATAGGCCTAGTTAATTTTGAAATGTTTAATAAATGCATTAACTGTATATTCTATATATTTGTATGTATGACTGACTAGAGTGTCTTTACACATCAGTGAACAAATCTTTTTTTTTTTCTCCGCCAGGAGACCTATGTTTGTGTCTGTGGGTGTGTGTGTGTGTGTGTGTGTGTTTGTGTGTGTGTGTCACGTTTTGGTGTTTTTGTGTGTTTTTGTTTTTTTTTTGTTTTGTACGACATATCTCATAAACGGCTGCACAGACGTAACTGAAAATTACGGAGTGTTATGTCTAACCCAATGAAGAAATTATTAAATTTTGGTAACGGTCCGGAGTAGGGTGTTGATGTGAGGGCCATCTTGTCTGAGCAAACGTCCTAGACAAGATATCTCAAACCTTCAAACCTTTCGTGAAAGCTTAACCAAGTTACAAGGAAAAATTATCAAGCGTTGGTCATGATCCAAAATCAGTGGTGAACTTGAGGGTCATTTACATTTTTAAGGTTGTGCGTGTTTCTTGTGTTTAAAATATTTAAAAAAACAGCTGCACAGATCTTAAATGAATGTTACAGGAATTGTCAGGTATGACCCAATGATGGTCGTCATCCGGAGTAGGGTTGGATATGAGGAACATTAAAAGAAAAACGTCGCAACCCGGATATTTCAAAATCTGAATGAAACTTTCGTGAAAGTTTAAGCAACTCACAAGAAAGAAATTATGAAGTGTTAATGACGATCCAAATACTGGTGTTCATTTGAGAGTCATATAAATTCTATGGTCACAGACCTAAATATCTCTTTAAAAAAATCAATTGCACTAAATAACACTATCCAGAATAATTTGGCATGTTTCGAAAACGTCGTAGATTAGATACTATATTTCAAAAACTAATCAACTGATATGATAAATGAATTCGGGTGTGCATGTGAGGTCCAAAAGGCCCCAGACCTAAATATCTCGAAAATGGATCAATGGATTGAAATGACAATAGACAGAATAGTTTGTCAGGTTTAAATAAAGACGTATGTGTGTCAATGTTGGTCACGACCCGAAGAAGAATGTGGATATGAGGACAATGTAAAAATACGTTTACCGTATTATCATAGGCAGGAATAATAGCTATAATGATGAATATTTATATTAGTGCAATTACAGTAGAGATGTACAGTGTTCTATACGTACTAACTTCATTTTTTTCAGAACTTATTGGGAATATTTTTAATTCATATTTACGTTTAAACATGTGATTCTACAAACCAAATTCTCATATTTCTATTTCCATTTCAATACCAATGCATTGCATGTATTTGGTTTTTCAGCTATAAAAGTAAACTCGCCGGTAAGTTAAGCCAGAACATGTCAGGAATTGGCAGGTGTACAACTGATACAATAAAAGGCGTTCGATTCAAAAAGTAAATTGATTATATTTTGGTGTCGATTATGGCCCATTCAAAGCAAAACGTCGCAGATCAGATATCTCAAAATCTAAACAACTCCTCTAAATGAAACTTTCGTGTTAAAATACATATTTTTGAGGAAATTTTAAGAGAAAGAAATTGGTGGTGGGTGGAGATATTATTATTATTATTATTATTATTATTATTATTATTATTATTATTATTATTATTATTATTATTATTATTATTATTATTATTATCATTATTTTTATTATTATTATTATTATTATTTTCTTTCTTAGAATAACGACGAATTTGATAATATATACAGTATGCCCGACACACTTGTTGTCCAAATGAACAATAATATGGTAAGTTTTAATATTATTATTATTATTAGAATTGCCATCTCTTCCATATATATATATAATACATACATAGATACATGCATGCATACACTGGTTCTATTTCTGGCTGTTTACTACGTTTGTTTTTAGCTGTTACTTATCAAATTTGTATCGCTACCGATATCCAGCCATTGTTTAACACAGCATTGTTGTTTTTCAAGTATTTTGCCTTTTAACTTATGTATTATATTAATGATTCCTTAGAGATTTCAATTGATGATTATTACAGAGTGCAGGCGCATGTGCAACAAATGAGAAGAACACGAATGTTATCTACGACAACCATATTCAACGAGTCCGTATAAATTCATATGACAACAGATTGGCTTTTACAAACATATACACTTGCGTCAAAGAACCACAGAAGGCCGCTGCTACTAATACTGTAGTAAGTTCTGTTGATAAATGCTATAATTATTTATTGAAAATTAATTATATAAACCAACTTTTATGGTATTAGAATTTTGTTATATTTATAAGGATATTGATAAAGTTTATGCTTGTTCACAATATTGGGTATGTCTATGACCATACAGTTATTCCCATAAGGGTTATGCCTATACATATGGATTATGCTCATATGGACTATGCATTAATATGTGTCCATAGGCAAGGTTGTACCGTAAATGTATAAAATTATATAAAAATCTGCATTTACATCCTCTATGGTTGTGCTAGTCGAGAAGAAGGAGCGGTAAAGTGAGGGACCGCTAACGTGTGTCTGTAGTATAAAACTCGATCCACACTATCAAATGTTATGGACAAATTTGTGACGGGCCCACGTATGGGCATATGACATTTTCACATATAATTTCCTAGTGTGAACATAGCTTTAGGAATTGTATTTTTGTCATTGTTAGTTCAATACTTTGTTAAACAACAACAAACAAAAAACATTCATTGACATATTCAATTTACAAGAATGGGTGGGTATAGAAGTCGATGTCGCAAGTTTTAACGACACCTGAAGAAAACAAGATACATGTAAAACAAAGAAATAGTACAGAACTAAGTGTCAGTGTTGAGCGACTATTATTTCCACTACCTAGGATATCATTCCTAATGTATGTATTCATTATCATTATCTTCATTATTGTTTTTTGGGAGGTTGGAAGTTGGGAGGAAAGTCATTTGATTTGGTCTTAAAGTCATTCCATAATCTTTCCAATGAGAGATGGTCCTTTTCACAAAGATTGATCGTTTACGTTTAGTCTACTAAGGTGGGAGGTGCCATACATGGGAGTGAGGAACAGACTATTTTCCCATTGCCTAATTCTCGGGATTCTGGATATTTATTACTTCTGTACCATGTCTGGATTTAATTTAAATATTTATTACTCTCTTCCTAAAACAGAAAAATTAAAATAAAAAAGCATTAAAATAATCGATAAAATTGGAACTCATGAATACATGAATATATAAAATAAAAGTAGAATCTGTATAAACAGCAAATACGAAATAAAGAGTGGCTATAAATGGTTTTTGCTTCTAGGATGACTATGAAGAACCAATGGATGATACGATTGAATTTCCGCGAGAGAATCTAGAAATTGGAGATCAAATTGGAGAAGGTGCATTTGGAAATGTGATGAGAGCACGCGCATTTGGCATTAAAGAACAAAAGAAATGGACAGTAGTAGCTGTTAAGAATCTTAAGGGTAATAACACTATTATTAGCACTACACAATCTAGTGGTAGTAGTAGTAGCGGCAGCAGCAGCAGATGCGACAGCAATAGCAGAAGCACTCAGTGTAGAAAAACATTATTATCATTGGGTCCTAGCTAGAAGTAGGTACTTGTGTCGCTAGGACCCAGTAAAGAGGTAGAAAAAAAATTTTAAAAAGACAAAAATAAACTAAAGATGAATATAATAATAATAATAATAATAATAATAATAATAATAATAATAATAATATGATGAATATGAATATGAATATGCATCCATTATAAACAAAGTTATAAGCGTATTTTTACATTTTAGGTGGTACACCGAGATTTGGCTGCTCGAAACGTTCTTGTCGGAGAAGACGTTCATGGAAAGAAAAGTTGTAAGATATCAGACTTTGGACTTTCACGTGAGATTCTGACAAAGTCTCAACATCGGCAGTCTATTCACACGGTATATATTCCTGTCTCTTATACACATCTGTAGCAACAGTAGCAGCATCATTAGTTGTAGCAGCCGTAATAGAAGCATCAGCAGTAGTAGCAGTAGTAGAAGCAGCAGTAATAGTAGTAGAAGTAGTAGCAGCAGTAATAGTAGTAGTAACAGCTGCAGTACGTAATAGGCCTAGTAGTGGCAGCAGCAGCAGTAGGCGGAGGAACAGTAGCAGCAGCAGCAGAAGTTGTAGTACCAGCAGTAATAGCAGCAACACCACCACCAGCAGTAGCAGCAGTAGTAACAGTAGTAGCAGCTGCTGTAGTAGTAGTAGTAGTAGTAGTAGTAGTAGTAGTAATAGTAGTAGAGTGGTAGCAGCAGCAGTAGTAGTAGTAGTAGTAGTAGTAGTAGTAGTAGTAGTAGTAGTAGTAGCAGCAGCAGCAGCAGCAGTATTAGTAGCAGCAACAATTTTTGTGTGAAATAAAAGTTGATTCTAGGTTTTTTGATATTCACATAATTTTAACGGTATTGATATTGGTACATAATATTTCGTCTTAAACATTTAAACCTAAATTTGCATGATTATTTTATCGTTGATTTAGATGTAAATAAGAAGCCCGAGTTTACACGTGAACTACAGATGTTGCGAAAGCTTTCCCCTCATCCAAACCTTGTTACCCTGTTGGGTATATGTAGCCACGAAGGTAAGAAAAAACAAAGTTAATAAGTTCTAAAATTATGTTATACTCACTAAGAAAGTCTCAATGTTCTTCATAAGTTTTTTTTTCTCTCTATGTAGTTCCTTATATTTTAATCATATAATGACTTCAATATTGTGCTTAATTCCACGTTTATTCTTTTAAACTATACATTGTTGTTATTCTTAACTTGATGTTTCACAATTTACATCCGTTTTTCTTGATATTTCAATGTTTATAGACTAAATCTAGAGTTTTAAATCTTGTTCGACTGTACAATGTTTTTCCTCATTTGTATGTAGCGAATTGGTGACGGGCCCCAGTGCAAGATAGTTGCCAGGCCCTAAAAGGCACCTGACCCAGACCCAGAAACATAGCCTTAGGGAGTCTACATTTGCGAAACTCTTAATGCCTACATTACATCAAAATGTTTAAAACGGATACGGCATTGTAAAGAGCATAAATATTTATAAAATATTCGGAAACATATTCAAGGATATTGTAAACAAAATATAATCAATTCATATATATTTTATCGTTAAGGTTGAGAATGTTTAGGGGTCTCTGATAAAGTATAACATTAACATATTAAAGTCCTTGCGGTAAACCACGTAGTGTGAAGAACTGCTGTTTTGTTGAGAATGTCTCGACGTTTTGATTGATATTATTTTCATGATGACGATTGAAGCAACTCAATAGAAAAGTCGAGATATTCTCAACAAAAAAACTTTTTTAGAACTGTCTAGGCATGCAAACCTTCAAAAAATCTAATATTGACAACAAGAGAACAATCAATGACATGATTTCAATGAAGTAAAACGTATTCATGAAGTATGATGACCTGACGCGATTAAAAAACGTGCAGAATATTAGTTGAACCAACTTTAAAATAGGTCTATCAAACAAAAACGTGCGTGCTGATATTTCAATTGCTTTAGAAATATGCTTTCAAAAAGTGTTTTAGTGCTTCGTACTAGGGTACGAAGCATATGTAAATTGCCTAATGGAAGAAAATAATTCAATGCATATATATATATTATGTTTACTTGTTTAGGCTGTTTATTCTAATCTCACCCAGCCTATTGTTTCCAATCATGCTTGCATGAAATTCTCACTTTATACCATCTAGCTTTTTCTACCCTAATGTCATCTTACTTGCAGAGTTTGGTGGTACCAATATAGGTAAATGTTAATGAATATAATCTATAATTAAGGCCTCTAAAACCTAATTATTATTGAGTGGAAAATTTAAGCAGGAATTTTTAAAGTTATAATTTTTAGATCTGCCTATTGAACGGGGCCCCAATAGCCCGGGCCCCAATTCTTTGCACTGGCTGCACTGCCTATACCTACGCCACTGTTTGTCGTATTTGATGTTTCCATACTGTTGCATGTTGGAAATTTTCGTCATTGTAGATCCATTTTACTTGATCTTTGAATACGCCAGTCACGGTGATTTGAAGAATTTTCTTCAGACGCAACAATCCATCATTAGAAAGAAAATGTCGTTACCTGAATTGACACCACGTGATCTGATCATGTTTGCTAATGATATTGCCAAGGGAATGGCGTTTCTTGCCTCAAAGAAGGTAAGATTACAGGAGAAATGTATACAAACTATAACGTCACCTCAGCAATTAATTTATCGTCTATATTTCATTCATATAACATTTATGTCGATAATAATGCCAAACAGATACAATTATAACAGTACAAAAAAATGACAAAAAATGGGAAAAAAACATTATTATCATTGGGTCCTAGCTAGAAGTAGGTACTTGTGTCGCTAGGACCCAGTAAAGAGGTAGAAAAAAAATTTTAAAAAGACAAAAATAAACTAAAGATGAATATAATAATAATAATAATAATAATAATAATAATAATAATAATAATATGATGAATATGAATATGAATATGCATCCATTATAAACAAAGTTATAAGCGTATTTTTACATTTTAGGTGGTACACCGAGATTTGGCTGCTCGAAACGTTCTTGTCGGAGAAGACGTTCATGGAAAGAAAAGTTGTAAGATATCAGACTTTGGACTTTCACGTGAGATTCTGACAAAGTCTCAACATCGGCAGTCTATTCACACGGTATATATTCTGTTCTGCATTCACCCATTCATTTTTATGCAATGACATAAGTTAGCTAATTACAGTAATATTTTATTTGTCAATGTTTGTATATCTTAAAGGTTGTATTTTTTTATTAATCACTCCCAGTTGAATATATTTCCTCGATTTTTAAATAAAGTTATATAAAGATAATTGATTACTTCATGGATCGGTTAATTTATTGGTCTAGATTAATTGATTTGAAAGATTGAATGATTAATTGACTGACTGACTAGCCGACTGATCAATGGAGTGTCATACGGATTTTACGGATTGTTTCAATGTCTGATCGAATGTATTAAGGGATTGACTGATTGATTGATTGATTGATTGACGGGGGCCTATATATGAATGAATTTACTAATTTAAAGTTTATTACAAATTGTCTATGTTTCAGGAGGGTTTGCCGGTTCGATGGATGGCCTACGAGTCATTATTTGAAGGTGTATACACAAGCATGAGTGACGTCTGGTCTTTTGGAGTTGTTATCTGGGAAATAGTCACTTTAGGTAGGTTCTTACAGAAAGTGTGTAGTATTTACATAACCGTAAACTATCACAAAGTTAGTGATGCATCTCATTTTTGTTATATATGGATGTCCTTAAAGGCCACAGCAGGCTTATGTGAACATGACAAATGGTGCTTCACCAAACATAGGCTGCCTGTTACCTATTCAACATTGTGTAGTATAATCTTAATATATTTTGTCGTGTTCTGTGTTTTGAATGATTTGTTAGGCTCTAGACAAATTATTTTACGCATGATTCGACGACAACTAGTTCGCAGAAGTAGGCAATGATGATATTGTAAAATCATTATTAAACGACAATCTAAAAACTAATATAAATGATCCTATCTATCATATTTTAAAGGAGCAAGACCATATTCCGAAATGACTTCTCGACAAGTATTGACCAACTTACAAGCCGGAAACAGGCTAGAAAAACCAAGCCATTGTAGTGATTACCTGTTAGTATTGTTTACAGTTGATTCCAAATGAGGCGTAAGCCATTATGTTAATGTTTAGGTCTCTTTACTTTATTATCATAGGAACACACTTGCGGAAAGCTAGAATGTGTGGGCAACACATTGTAGACATACTATCAAACACACTTTTCCAGAGGCCGTATTGTTTATGTCAGGGAACAGTGAAATTACAGTAATTTCATTGTTCCATGCTTAATGTACATTAACTTAAATCACTTAAAAAAATTCACTGTGAGAGCTCTGGATAGATGTAGACATGTACCTTTGATTTTTGACACCTTTACTCTGCCCGGTATACTTGGTAGGAAACACTGGTTCTAACCCATCTCCAAATCCCTTACCTGTTAGCTCCAAGCGCCACAGGTAGCGGTAGCACAATAACCCTGAACTCGCATCATAATTTTGCTGAATTACGTATGGAATAATTGATCTCCATTTTAAGTCCTTACCCGAGACGATGTGGAGATATTATAATTTAAGTAAGCCATGTCTAATTACTTTCAGATTTTTATTCGTGAACCATTGGAACTTGATAATGCTATATTTTTATTTTCAAGAAAAACGAAAACGGCCAAAAAATAATGTTTCTTTTTGGAACAAATCCATTTAAAATACAGTAATCATTTAATCTATATTTAAGATACTTGTTTTTCCCGTATTGTTGTTTTATCAAGATGTTTGATTTATCGATAAAGTATTATACGTAATCCTCTGAGAAAGTGTATCTTTATATTTAACTTTCTTTCGCCGTTTCTTTACTTTCGAGCTTTCCAGGAGGAAAATGATCAACAATGAATCAAAAGTTGAACAATCAACATTATGCAGATATTTAAGTAATTTGAAAACAAAAATAGTCATCAACTAAATCGAATGATTTAACAGAATCGCTAAAGACTAGGCCACAAATGTTAGAGGCAATATCAGTTTTGTGA